CTTCCTATAGCACTAACATCATGTACATTTTTATATATAGGGGCCAGCAGGTGTTGTAGTGCTAAGGTGTTGGACTCCCCCATGTTCGACCATGGTTTGCATCCCATACCTGGCGGCTTGAAAATCATGCCAGGCATGTGTGCATGCATGTCCAAAATACCAGGAGAATGAAGGAGAAAGGATTACAACATGAACACCCCCAGTGGGGGGTGATTTCTCACTTTCCATCTCACTGTCTGTCTCTCTCCGGTAAGTACACACACCCTATTACAAAAACCTAAAAATTTTTTTTTCTGTACATATTCAGTTGATTCATTATCTGTTTTTCCATTAATAGAACATAAATGCATGAGGGCTGTTGTGTTTTGTTTTTGCTGTGGTTGTTGACTTAAGTGCCTAGAAAGAACAGGGCCCAAATGAAGTATTTTAACATATCCATTACGCTAACTGCTGGTTCCCCCCTCATAATATTGAACATTATGGGAATTGCTTGAAGAAAAACTCACCCTTGACTCTCAGGGGTATCAATTTCATGCCATACATCCAATTAATTCTCCTCCCATTTATGTCAAGACATTACAATAGCCATAATATTTCTTTAGATTCTAATCAATTGCAAAATCTTTTCTTGTTGAACTTAGGCATAGTTACATAATCTTGTTAAAATAGTGATCCAAATAATAAATTGATAAAGGGTTTGGGACTAGCAGATGGTGTACTGGTTACATTGCTGGACTCCCATATGGCTGACCCCAGTTTGAACCCTGGACTTGGAGACTTGAAACTCACACCAGGTGTGTGTGCATGTGTGCCCAAAAAATCCTGAGAGGAGAATAGAGGAGAAGGGATTGTGGTGTGGCCATCCCCCTTGGGGAGTGAGTTCTCATTTTCTGTCTCTCTGCCTCTCTGATGAATGCATGTGCCCTATAGCAAAAATCTCTAAAAGAAACAAAGAAACAAACAAACAAAAAAACAAGAAAAAGGGTTTACACCCATTTGTCAATGGTTCTAGAAGGTGGACACTTCAGGGGTTATCTTACTGGTAATTGTAGGAATATTCATTTTTAACTACATTCTGTGTTCAACAATTAATATAGTTATTAAACTTTTATCGAGTATCTATTAGGTTTATTACTCTGCCAAACATTTAGGATACCTATGTCAATGTGACATGTTTCTTACCTTCAACATTATGCCATGGAAGAAGTTAGGATAGTTTATTGATCTATTCGTGCTTTTCAAAATAATTAGTTTATGTCAACCACTTGTCAGGCACTGTTATAGGTTCTGGGGATATAAACATGCAGTAATGCAAACAAGTAATTATGCTATATTATAAATGCTAACAGATACAAGGTTCTATAGGTCAACATTGGTGGATATTTGTGGGTATAATGATTCCTAAGTTTCTGACTTGGGCAATGAGGTACATGTAAGATAAGAAATATAAGAAAAGGAGGAGGAGCTTGTTTTTGATAACTATGGTCACTTTGATTTTAGATGTATGGAAACTGAGATGCTATGGATGTCTGGTAGACACATCTGGTAAGTGGTAAGACAGCTGGATTTAGTTCTCAGGAGAGGTGCTTGGATAAAGACATAAATCTATAAATGTTGTTAGCATTGAATTGGGTTCACAATGTAAGAAAAAGACAAAACATAGAATGAAAAGGAAAGAGGGGTGAGGACAAAATATATGCAACACCCAAGCAAGAATACCTACAGAAAGCAGAGAAGGAGCAATCACAGTAATAGAATCAGAAAAAAGTATTTTCCTAGAGGCCAAAGAAGAGAATGTCAAGAGGTCAGGTTGATTAATGCTTTAGAGAAGCTGAAAACTGGAAAAGTATCTTCAGATGTGTCACTGATTTTTTTTTTTCTTTTTCTTTTCTTTTTGTTTTTTCTTTTTCTTTTCTTTTCTTTTTTTTGAGAGATTTTCACTGTAGGGTGTGTGCGCTTGCCAGACAGACAGAGAGAGACATAGAGACAGAAAGCGAGAAATCACCCCCCAGGGGGGATGGTCACGCCGCAATCCCTTCTCCTCCATTCTCCTCTCGGGATCTTGGGCATGCACGCACACGCACCCGGCGTGAGTTTTAAGCCACCGGGTCCGGGACACGAACCGCGGTCGACTACATGGGAGTCCAGCGACATAGCCATTATGCTAACTGCTGGTTCCCTTCTTTTTTTTTTCTGAGAGCAGTTTCATTTCTATTTAGCGGTCGACTACGTGGGAGTCCAGCGACATAGCCATTACGCTAACTGCTGGTTCCCTTCTTTTTTTTTCTGAGAGCAGTTTCACTTCTATTTAGAGAAATGAAAAGGTTATTAAAAATAGTTTCTGTTTCATTTTGGAAAAGCAATGAACAAGATTCAATGCTTATCTTCAAAAATCTTATTCAATTCAATTCAATTGGATCATATTTACACTCAATATTGTTTACTTATAGTCAATATCTATTAATGGATGTAGATAATAAAAAGCCCAGGCAGTTAAAATCTAATTGCTATAATGAGTCAGAACACAACACAATGAACGAATAGAAGAAAGGTATGGGGGTCAGCCATTGGTGTGGTGGGTAAGATGACTTGATCCCACATGGCTGACAATGCAGTCTGAGTCCTAGACTCAGTAGCTTGAAAAATATTCCATGTGTGTGTATGTGTGTGTGTGTGTATGCAAGTGTGTGTTGTGTGTGTATGCAAGCGTATGTGTGTGTGTGTGTGTGTGTGTATGCCCAAAATCCAGGAGGAAGAAATGGAGGAGAAGGGCTTGTGGCATGACTATCCTCCATGGGGGCTGCTTTCTCACCCTCCCACCCCAGTCCCATCTCATATATGTCTCCAGTGAGCCTTGTGACCTCTGACAAATTAAAAAACCGGGAGAGAGAGAAAGGTGCATAATGGGTTTCAGGTTGAGGACTGCAGATCTTCAGCCAATGTTGATAATGTAAGATAAGATGGCTGAACAAGTATTAGTTAGAGGAAGACGTGATAATGTAAGATAAGATGGCTG